CGTCTCTGGTTGTCCTCAGTGGCGGCCTCCGCTCTTACTCGCGTTTGCCCGGGGTTACGGGAAGCGCCGCGCTTGGCGGTGCGTGTCCCGCGCCGCTCCTTGCCCCCGCTTCGCTCGCTGCGCGCTGCTTGTCCCGAGCTTACTTTTCAGCCTGCAAAACCTTAAGCCCTCTTCTGCGCCAGATCTAAACTACGTAGCGCGAAGGCTGCGTTGGGCCCGCGTGCCGGTGCTCGGTTTGCACGCGGGGTTCTCTGGAGAAGGTAAAGTTACGAGACGTCTTTGGCGTTTTAGCCTTTGGAGTCTTTCCGTACAATGTTATTTTTAATCATCTTCTTAGACGGGACTTTACGGAGACCTTGGAAGAACAATGGAATCCACTATTTGCAATGACTTGTTAGGAGGAAATTGAGTATGCTGTTTGGTTTGCTCACGTGATGAGGCTGTGGCGCTTCTGGAGCCCTAAGTGCTTTCGCATTGTTGCATAGCAAATACTACAGAGGTCCTTACCTTTAAAATGTGTATTGTGTTTTTTCACTTTACTGTCCTGCTTTTGCTTGTGTGAATTTAATGGACCGCTGAGGGCCTCTGGTCACTGATAACGTCTGCTCAGTTTTTTACAGATGCAGTACTCGGTGCAAATGCAGCTGGCAAATTTTGCAATATCTCAGAGCTCGCGCTATCATACAGTACACGCCGAGTGCATGCTTGTGTCTTAATCATATCAAAACTATTTAAAGAGACTTTTCAAAATTGTTATTGATGGAATGGCCAAGAGTAGGGTTTTTTTTCTTTTTTTCTTTCTTTTATTTTGCCTCCCAAAGAAATTTGAGGGCGGAGAGGGATAAATCAGAGACTCAAAAGTGTGTGTATGTGTTTGTTTATAAGGAAAAAAATACAGACTTTTGCAGTTTATGCGTTGCCCCTCAAATACAGCAGTGACTTTGTTCCAGCTTCTCTTGAAAATAATGTTTAGTCGCCTGGCATTTATTGCCGCTCTAAAAGACGAGAGGATAGTAAACTTCTAGACTTCTCCACCTCAAATGGAAATTGGAGAGACTTTAACTGGACTTGTCATTCACTCTGTAATTTGTTTAATGCTCTTCTTAACAGAACCTTGTGCCAGAGGTACTGTGGTTTTTTTTGTCTGCTTGTTTTTTAACCAACAGTAATGAATAAGACCTTGCCAGAATCTTTAGAAAGTAAGGAGGACATTGATTATTCACCTCTTATAAACTGTGGACTGAGGTGTCAGGGAACTATTGAAGTTGCCTGTAGCACCTAGGAGGTATCTGGGAAAGGAACGGTGCTGTCCCCGCTTCCAGTCTTATCACCCTCAAAGCATGTTAGGGTCATTCATGTGTAAGTAAATTCTGGGAATACCCTTCATGACGAATCCCTGCTTTCGCAGGTGATTGCGGAAGGAAAATCAAGTTTAATATTCTGCAGCTTTTGATTATGGCAGGATACATTTCACTTTCATGTACTGGGCGTTCATGTTTGAGTGCTTAGTTCCTGTAGGACTGTGTCTGAACAGATGCACCTTGGTGTAGTGTTGTTTCATAGTTGTGCAGCCATTTCACTAGCTTGTGTCTAACGCCCTTTGGAAATGTTCGTAATCCAAAAAAACCCCTTGGATTCATAGGTCACTTATACTATTGATATTTGGTCACTAAATTCACCATTCGCCAATAAATTATGGAGTATGAGCGCCTGTAGTTAGTGTTGAAGCATTGAGGTTTGTGTGGTTGAGATGCCCAAATCGTCTCAAGCGTAACGCACGTTCACTGTGATTCCCGAAGAAATACTGTTTATGTAGTAATGCTGTGTGCATATCACCCCTGCAAATAATTTTTAAAACAATTAACCAACTTCAGCTGAACTCGATGGGGTAGAGGTCTTAAAAACATTGCATTAAAGGTTTTGGATTTTTTAGTTTTTGTTTTTGAAACAACTTCTTGTGCAAAAAGAAGGAAGGCCTTTGTAGTGTCCACCCTGAGGGAAGGACTGGTGAGAATTGTGCTCTTGTTAGGCATCAGAGAAGGTGTGCAGGAGAGCCCAGCCTCCAGGCAGAGGTCTGTAGACAGCAAGCCCCGCTGGTTCCCCCGTTCGCAGGACGTGGGGCTCGGCGACGTGGACCGTACAGTTCCTGCCGTGGGGCTGGACTCAGGCTTGTCTTGCTAATTTTTTTTTTTTCCCCCTCTGGTGCCGTTGTGGCTGTTGTGTGTTTTGTTTCTCTTGCTATACAGGTAAACGACAGGACAGAAATCTGTGTGCAAACGTTGAAAGGCTTTCAGAAGTTCCAGTAGATCATTCATTGCTGAAGGAATAGGGAGAGTGTTATGGATGAGGTCTCCTATTTAACTTCAGTGCTCTCTCTTGGCACGCGTGTGTAGATACATTCTGAAAGTTTGGCACTTGTTCATTGGTTTGGCGCTTGAATAAAAAAAAAAGGAGAGTAAGCTGAGCTATTATGGAATAGTAACACTGTCTTGATTAAACTGCTGAAAGCTCCTTTCTCTTCCCTGTAAGCTCTGGTGGCCAAACTGCACAAATCGAGAGTCTTTTAAACCCCTTTACATGGGCGAAGTTAGAGTTAGAGCTGCGTTATCGTTCCTACTCTTTGCTGAAAGTTTCCTATGTCAGGTGGACAGCGTGAATCATCTCTGATCTTGTTTTTGTTACTGGAAGATGAGCAATTAAGTTGTTTAGATTTCTTAACTTCTGTTTCTCTTTGCTCCTGATAAAGCAGGATCAAACTTCTGAGCCTGCGAAACTGGGAGGGATTGATCAAAGGTGGTGCCTGAACAGAACAACGCAGGCTTTATGCTCATTAGAGGTGATTTCGGCTCAACCCCTAGTGCCTTTTCTGCTCGTATTGGGCCAGAATGGGCCTATGCAAACTGGCAGGTGAGATACGGAAGACTTGACAAACTCTTTCAAAATGGTATCATCAAAGAGCAATATCAAAGCTAAAATCCCCCCAACAGCGAAAAGGCATCTAGCATTAATGTTGCATGGGCAGAAACATATCCTGCTAAGAAGTACTTCCTCTGCCAAGAATTTTCAAAGTGCAGGAAGTATAACAAGTATAAGGAAAATCTAGAAAGCCCCAGAAGAAATCAGGTTCGTGTTTCCTCCCTGTTTTCCTGTCACTGTTTTCTCCCTTTCCTCAACAGACAGAGGAACTCTATTTCAGAGGTATTAAAGGAGAAAATCTAGAAATTTTTCCTGCCCCCACCCCAAATATTTTGATGTAACGTGAAATGTTTCACTTAGATAGCTTGGGGGGAGGGGGAATCCAAATAGTGAATTTCTCCAGCAAATGTCCCACTGAGCAACAAGAGAGCAAGCTGTCCATGTTAATGATACCATAAAATATGTAATTAGGTCAGAAGGGGAGCAGCTCTCCAGACAATGTCTCGACAAGCAGATAGAAATCTTGCGCGTTCCAAGGGAAGCGCCAGGTGCGTGGATACGGAAAGCAGGCTTTGCAGCATCCCCTGAGCAGCAAACTCGCCCAAACTGGAACGCCCGTTTTCTCATTCTAAGGCCCTGATGGACAAGATAGGAATAACTCTCCTCTACGTATTTTTGCGCAACGCTGCTTTGTGTTTGTTTTTTTTTTTCTTTGATTCTTTGAAAATAATTCCTATTCTGCTGTGACTGCTAGAGCTCTTGTCCATGTTCTGAGGATCTCCCACCTTAACCGTAATCAGGTCCTTCCTCCTGCATTGCTGGTGGCCTACTGACTGTCAAAATCCCGAACGCTGTAGCCGGAGCTACCTCTCTCGCCCCTTTAGACTCTGTGTTGGCCCCTGTCTCTCGCTGGGTAACCTTTAAACTTGTCTTTGAAACTTAGGGCCAGCTTTCTGTGTCTGAATTCCAAGTCTTGTTTTTGATGTGTTAATGTGTCAATCTGTACTTTTCTGTTTTTCACTTATTAGCTGTTGTACCTGGAGGTATACGCAGAGCCATCCTACTTTGTTTCTTTGCTCTCTCTAAAATTCTTCCTAAAAATTCTTTTGAAGCCCACCATGGAATAATGTTCCTGCTTTCGGTCATGTTCACTGAAGTTGATTGATTGGGGAGTATGGGTAGGTTTTTATTTTTTCTTTTAGCATATATTTAAACTCATTTAATATGTAGTGCCAAGCTCAAGGGTGCTTGAGAAATAAAAAGAGGAATTTTCCACTCAGAAATTTGTATCCCAGCCTCTTGCTATCTTAGAAGAGTTTCATTGTCATGCAAATTGTTTACAAGAAGAAATAAATAGAGACTTTGTATGTCATGAGCAAAGTGATTTGTGGATTTAATAGCAGAAGGTTAGACAGAGGTAATATTGTTTGCTTAGTTGCGGCTTAAATTAAGAGATCCTTTGTCTTCCATATGTAAATCTTTAACCAAAATATACCTGCTCGCAGCCTACAGATTTCTGGAGTGTAGGAGCTTCCTTCTATTCTTTGTTTTGGTTAATGTCTCTACATTTTGCATCCTAGTACTTAATCGTGTGAATCCTGTTTTACTTTATTTATTTATTTATTTTTTCCTTAGGCTGCATCTGCCACAAGTGATTCCTTTTAGCTAAGACGCCTGCAGAGGAGCCTACTTCAGAGCCTGCAGGCTCTTTATTTGTATGTGTGTAGTTCATATTTAGTCTGATGTTTTGGCAAGTTTAAATGGAATTATTTCCTACTGCAAATGTTACTCTTCTAAAATTGAAGCCTTAGTCAAGTAATTGATGATATTAGTGCTGTAAAAGAGCAGTCGTGTTCCAGGCTTTTTTGTTACCTTACTACCATGCTCCCCATCAGAAGCTCTAATGACTTCTTAAATAAAGCCCCAACAAGATAAATAACCTTTGAAAAATATATTTTCGTTAGAAAATTTTGGAACTGATTGAGTCAAGTGATTTTATCTGCCTATGGTACAGGGCACTTGTGACTTTAGAGTGTACCAAAATATGAAACTGCCTGTATTGCATTATAATGTTGGTGTGATGACGCTCTGGAACATCGCTGTCTGTTGTGTGCAGGTAGGAGTGCAGTCCTGGGATACCTTGTGTCCCTGTGAAAAGCTGTGGACGGAAATGAATCGAGATGTGCGCCCTTGGGGGAGCTTGTGGTTTGTGTTTTGAAAACAGATTTTTTTTCCAAGTCTTTGCAATTTATTTATTTTGGAAACTGTGGACTGGACATGAAAGGCTTTGTGTATCTCATTCTTCATATGACTTCTGTTGCTATACTTGAGCTTATAATGCAAGTATCCAGTTAACTTAGCTCTGCCGTTTCCATGATGTCACTTTTTATCAACTGATCAAAATAGCTGTCTGTTGTGTGGTTAATTCATTTGGGAAAAAAATCTTGCTCTGGAATTTTTGGTTGCCATTAAGATTTGCAGCACCAAATCATCTAGTATTTAAGCCAGAGATTTGAATTAAATGCAGGAATAAGCTTTAAAATCTGCTCTCTCTCTGCTGCAGTTCAGTGATATGGCCTTTGGCAGCAATACCAGCTTATGATGTTCCTCCCCCCTGTGATTCGTTCCCACCATGTGCTACCGCTGGCTTGGTTGTGCCAACGCGACTGACTGCGGTAGTGCTCCGTAAACGGGATGGAGCGACCGCTGCTTTGTGTGTGCGGTCACAGCTGCGGAGGAACATGCTGCCTGGGAGGGAAGGGGAAGCAGGGTTCGGAAACATCTGAAGACAGCGTGTCAGGGTGTCGGGGCAGGTAGTGATCTGCCATACAGGGGAAACAGAAGCAGGGACTGGAATGGTGAGTTACGGTCGCCTCTTTAGATGTACAGTGTTACGGCATTAAAATATATCCGCTCTTCTGTCATTGTTTGCAACAGCTATACCTTTTGGGTTCAGAAATACTATGCTGTATTATATGTTGTCAGTAACAGCGTTCAACCCCAATTAATAATACAATGTTAAAAACTTTTAATTTGTAGTGCCTTTAACTTTATATTAAAGGGGTTTCAGCTGTGGCTTTTGCAAAATGCAACAAATGTTTCTAAGCCTCTAATTTAAGCGACTTTACTTTTTTTTCTTTCTTTCTTTCTCCCAGCCCTGTTAAATGAAAATCTTCGTGCAACTATTCTGGAATAATACATGCAGTCCTGCTGTCAGTTTTTGCTGGTCAGTGATGTTCTTCATTTTACTGATTAACTTTACAATTTGCAGTTGCATACATCTCTCTGTGTTTGACTGTAGCCTTGAAGTGGATTGACTGCTATTTTTAATGCATGAAGGAATTCACGTATGTGCTTTTCTGCCAAAACTCAAAAGTACCTGCTAGATTTCATTTTAGGTGATTCCTGTTATTATAGATATTTAATTCCTTCTGTTTTCACAAAAGATAAACTGTTTCTGGATCTTCTTTCTGCTTGTCTCCTCCAACTTCTTCCCCTCTACCACCCTGCAGGGTGTTTTGGGATCAAGGTTTCCCTGCACTGCTTCCCATAACTGACTGGCTTTCAATAGTGAGTGTGTACATATTTTGATACATCCTAAAGCACTGTATGGTATAGTGAGCACAGTCAATATTACTCATTCAAAGTTGCCTGTTGCAACTTTGTCCCAAAGCTTAAGGTAGGCTATTTCCACTTGGTAGAAAGAAAGTCTTAGTAGAAGAATTATGTGCGCTTACAGCGGGAAGATAGCAGTACGTACCTACCGACTATATCAAAAAGGACAGGGTGGAGACTTAAGCGGTGGAAAGTTGTTGGTTTGTTTGGATGGGCTTGAAAGGGAAGTTGGCGGAAAGGGATTTCATGTCTTTATTAATGAATTACTTCACTAGTGCTCATTTTGATATGTTCCCTTTGCTATTTTGATGGTATCTGAGCTGTGATTTTTCTGGAATGTGCAATATAGTCCCTCCCACTACATATATTTTTTTTCTGCTGTTTGAAGCAGGATATTTTCTGCTGGTTGGGAGCTGGGGATTACAGATAGTACCTCAAAGGCATTTGGGTGAGAAGGCAGATGCAAGTTCCTTCTTGTTCAGGCAGGCAGTGGAAGTTCCAGCATGGAAACGTGCAACAAATGAGTCTGCGTGTAGTTGTTTTGTGCTGTTTTCAAAGTTTCTGTTGTTCATGCGATAAAGACTTAGAATGAAATGAGTTTTAGGCTATATCTATTTGGTTATTACCCCTACTCCTTAGGTATCAGGGAGGGATAGGGGAGTTATCTCCAGTAACAATCCCACACCCTGCCTAGGAAAGTTATTTGATTGCTGGTCTCTCATAGCGTGTATTTTTCTAATGCTCAGTATAAGCTCTCTTTATTGTAGCTCAAGCCTATTAAGTTCTGCTTGTTCTGTCACTGATTAGTGAGAATAATCTGTTCTTGGCTTCTTTAGAAAAATTCTTTATGGATTCTAATCTAGCTATGATGGCTAATTATATTTCAACGAACAGCTTTTCTTATAAGTGCTACTTTCTGAACCTTTTGTCTGGTGTCCTCTCAGCCCTGCAGTTTCTTGAGGTCTAACTGATGCTGAGTTGAGTGGATTTTTCTAGCAAACAGTATTAGTGCAGCCCAGCAATGGATATCTCCGTTTATTATACAATTCTTGGAGGCTTCTTTGTGCTAAGCTGTTTAGACAGTAGAATATGTAGACGAGAGGAAGTGTCAGTTCAGATGGAGTGTGTGTGTGTGTGTAACCTGCACATGACAGAGTATCTTGTTGTTGTGCCTGAGGTCACAGTCCCTTTCCACTTGCAGGTGCCTTCTAAAGACTTGTCCCTTTTGCCTGTGGGAAACTGGCTGATTATGGCAAGAGTGAGAATTTTGGCTAATTTTACTCATATGACTGGAATGCAGCCAGTTGTCATTGAGTTCTCAACTTGTTTTATCTTCATTCTGCTATTGCCTTTCTAGCCTGTACGCTCTTTATAATGGGTTCTCTGACATCTGGCTGTGATAATAAATTGTTAGCAATATTAAAAACACTCGCTAAAGTTTATCTTTAAAATCACTGAGCGTGCTTTTTTCTAACTTTTCTTCTTGCTTTGTGCAGGACTTCTTTTCTGGGTAAAGAATGCAGACAATAAAGTGCGTAGTTGTCGGAGATGGCGCTGTGGGAAAAACTTGTCTTCTCATCAGCTATACCACCAATGCCTTCCCAGAAGAGTACATCCCTACTGTGTTTGACAACTACAGTGCCCAAATGACTGTCGATGGCCGGACAGTTAGCCTGAATCTCTGGGACACTGCGGGCCAGGAGGAATACGACCGCCTGCGCACGCTCTCCTATCCTCAAACCAATGTGTTTGTCATCTGTTTTTCCATTGGTAGCCCCTCTTCCTATGCAAATGTGAGGCACAAATGGCATCCTGAAGTTTCTCACCACTGTCCTAATGTTCCCATTCTTTTAGTGGGCACCAAGAGAGACTTGAGAAATGATCTGGAAACAGTTAAAAAATTGAAAGAGCAAAGCTTGGCTCCCACTACCCCGCAACAGGGGACTTCACTGGCAAAACAAATTGGAGCAGTCAAATATTTGGAGTGCTCAGCATTGAATCAGGAGGGTGTTCGGGAGGTGTTTGCTGAAGCTGTGCGTGCTGTTCTGTATCCTGTGACAAAGAAGAACACGAGAAAATGTGTCTTATTGTAGTTACCTCGGATAATGGGTGTTCAAAGTTGAATATTGACTAGAATCTTGGAGGGCTCTTTGAGTTAAATTGAAGATTTGCATCTTGCACTAACAGCTCTAAGCAGAAATGGTTTATGCAAAGAATATTCTTGCAGTCTTATTGCTTCAGGGAAACTGAAACAGAAGATTTTTTTGTTTTGTTTTGTTTTTTCTTCCAACTGAGAGGTCAAACATCTACTTAACTTTGAAAGTTCTAGTCTCCAGCTTCTCCAGGGATCACTTGGCTTCTGTTTTTATTCAGTGGAGGAGAAAAAAAGAAGGGACTTCTTTGAAGCCAATCTTTTTTTTTTACTAGATAGCCATCAGTTACTGGACTTGCTGAAAAGCACAAATTCTGATAACTTTGCTTTAAGTGTAGCTGCTGCTTTTCCTATCCCCTCTTTACTGATCAAATTGGTTTTAGAAAACAGAAGTCTGGCTGTCCAGTTGTGTTAATTTGTCAATTTAAAGCTTGAAAACCATTTGTTTACATGCAAAAATGCCTATAATATTACTGAGCTTCACTTTATAGTGAAGTTGTGATCCTTCATATGAAAAGTTAACATACGGCATATTTAATCCAACGAGCAAGACGCAGGGAACACCTGCAATAATTTTATTAATAGAAGCAGGAACTGATTTCTCCTAATGTAAGGAATTTAGGATAACGGTGAATCACTCATTTGAGTCATTTTCATGCTGTTGAAATGGAGAGGTGGAAGAGGAGTTCAGATACAAGTCTTCCATAATCTTCTAAACTGAGTTAAGGTTTTATTTCACTCTCCAAAGAGACTTTACATTCTGAGAATAAAGTAACAGTTATCTGCTTGAACTAATTGAGGTAATTGGGATGACGTTTCTCAAAGCAAGCTTTTTGATGTGATCCCACTTTCCCTTGGTAGAAGCCTGTTTGCTCTCAAGGAATTCATTGCTTCACTTCCTAATGCTCTTGGAGTCACCACATGAGATTTCATGGCAAATTCCTTTGCTGTTTTTCTCGCAGATCATTGACAGAAATTTTGGAGGCTCTATTTACAGGGATCAGGAACCCTTGTTTCTTCCTGGCAACTCACTGGTAGTTCCAATTAAACTTTTAATGGTTAGCCAGTCACTGGATAAATTTACCTGGGCCGTATTCTCCCGTCTACTAGGCGATCACATATTATAAATGGTTTTAACTGATGTTCCTTTTATGTACTTTTTAGCTTTCTCTAGCAGCTATAGCGAGTGGCTGTTGGCTTCTGTTTTCAGAACGTGCAAAGTTTTTTATGTGCGATTCTGGGACCAGCTGAGAAATGAGCGCATGAAACCTTCCTTAGACTTAACCTTACAGCTTGGTGGTATGAAAGGAGCATGCTTCAAAGATATTTTGTGTGAAACCAATGGTGCTGGCCTGGACTTTGTTGTCCACAATTGACAGTGCTGTCTTTGTCCAGATGCAGCCTCAACTGCTAATTCAGAACTTGCTTTCTTATGACTCCCAAACATGCGAAACTGCGCTGTGTATACTCTGGACAGAAAAAAGCCTTGTTTTAGCAAAACAACGGAAAATACATCAACACAGTTATTAGGGATTTTGTGTTAAATTAACCTTGGTTTATCTGATACAGACAGAAATATCAGGTAGAGACAGACGTTCATATTTGTGCCCTCATTTCCCTCTTTGAAGAGGACGTGCCTTTCTTCAGCTAGTGTAACTGATGCTGACACTAATTACAATTTCTGTACACCTGATGTATGCGCAAACAGGTATTGCTTTGGGAAACTGCAACCCGTAAATGAAAAACTGCAGTTTATCCAAATATTGGTGTATGTAGCTAGTGAAGCAACACTTGAGTTCCAAACATTGCCTGATGGCAGATAACACCAAAACATCCATAATGCCTGATGTTTGTAGAAACCTACAGGCTTCTGTGTATTTTTCTTCACCAAGTGCCATTGTCTGGAGTGTCTCTGCATCTTTTGCACTTGTAGAGGAAGTGCTATTCCAGATGTGGCTCCTACCGCAGCATTCTGCAAGCTGTAAGGGAATAGGAGTATTTCAGTGATGTAACTTCTACTCACCACTTTCTGCCTTTACTTTAGTAGGTAGGCCTTTAGCGTGGGCTTGACTTGCAGGCAGCAATAATTCTGTGCCTTGTAATTCAAGATTATTGTTCTGTAGGTAAATTTCAGTAACTGAGTAAATAGTTTATCATTGTTTAAAATATATTTATTTAAGCCAGTGCACGTTTTTTAATACAGGTCAGGCTTAAATCAACAGTCTAGTTACCCTGGTGCAAGCCCATAACTTTTGCTTAATTCAAAGATGTACTTTAAAAAGTTTGTGATATGTTTGAACTGCTCTTCAATAGACCTTTTATTTCAACAACAGGCACCTCTTTTTTTTTTTTTTTTTTCCCTACGCAAATTTGCAATTTTGTACTGAAGCTACTACTGTTTTTTAAAAGTTTTTACTCTTTTAGATATTGAAATCTTGTAGTTCTGCATCTTTTGTGGATACTCCTAACTGGATGACAATAACTGTGTGGTCTGTCCCGTGAGCAAACATTGTCGCACACATCCTGTTTCTGTAGGCTCACAGTGCAGCCATCCTGGTGTTAACTGGAAAGAGGGTATGGAGAGAGAAAATTCTACTGCTTAATCAATCTGTTTGAATTGATTACGTTCTTGATTGCGTAATGCTAGAACACTTTATCCCCATCTAGATAACTTAATAGATTGCACATCAGTACTGAAGAGATTTAATACCATTGTGATGAAAAGGAGCAGAAAGCGAACTTTGAACAGAACTATGAAAACTTAACTGTTTTCAGAGTACCTCGTTAATAGACTCATTTAAATGCCTTGTATTTCTGTGTCTTTCTGTCAAGAGGAGGAAAAATCCTGCTGGTCTGACAGTTCATTTACTCTAGCATCTGATTTTCATGCGAATGAACCCCAGGGGTGCACAGATCCAATGAACTTTTCCATTCAATGGGCATTCTTTCAGTTTATGATCTTTCCTCTTTTTTTTGTAATTATTAATATGTTTTATTGTAAGTAGTCCAGTGCTTCAGTCTACAATCCATTCCCTTCCTCCCACGTTTTCTTTTTTGTCCCCCCCACCCCGCGGACAGGTCGCAAATACAGACCTAAAACAATCACGTAGCTGGATTTTGTCCATTTTCTTAAGACCAGAATACCCCAGAGTGAAGTTATGAGGATTTCCAAAACTCAAGATTTCTCGTTACCGAGTAGAAATGCAACATGTACGTTACCGTTCACGGAAGAGACTCTACGAAGAGACCGATTTTAATCTTTCAGCATGTGAATAATTCCTAAAATACATAAGTTTTTTTTTTTTTTTTTTTTAAATACATTTGAGGCCATCCACACTGAGTTGAGCAGTTCAGGAATTCTGTGTCCGAAGGACGTTAGGAGGCGCGTTTAGATGTATAAATGCTTTGTTCAGTTTACAGCCGTAGCTATTTATATGAAATTGGAAGTAGGAAAGCCTCGCTGCGCCGAACCTCGCTGTGCAGAAGTCGGGGCGCCGCTTGGGCTAACCGCGAGGAGCGAGGGGGGCTCGCGAGGCTTTCCGCCCGGCTAACAATTTTTAAAGTATTTTCTTTTTTTTTTTTTAAATTATGCAAAATTAAATGGTAATAAAACTTTCTTCATCTCTCTGGCTCTCTTATTAACTTTTTTGTGTGTGTGTGTGTGGTAACGCCGCTCTTCTAAACGCAGTTCTTTCCTGTGGAAAGCCGGACTCGGTTTCTTTGAATGCAATAAACGGTTTTTGGTGAACCTGGAAGCCTGCGCGTGCTTTGGTCTCGTGGGG